AGGAGGAGGAAAAGAAAAACACACTAGAAAAAAAAAAAAAATAAAAAAAAAAAGGAAAGAAAAGAAAATTAAAAAAATAAAATAATAATAATAATAATAATAAAAAAACCAGTTTTGATTTGCTTCAGGTTTCCAAACCAGAGGGGAGTTCAGAGAGCCCGGGGGGGACTTTGATGCCAAAAGAGGGGTGGAAATCCCATCAGAACCAGCCCGAAGAACCGGTTACAAAGCCACCGGTTTGGAAGCAAAGTTAAACCGGGATCTGATTTCCTCGGCGGAGGAGAGAGGGAGAGACACATTCCCGCCGCATTCCTGCCCGAATTCCACCCCCGGAGCTCGGGAGGGATCAAATCCTCCCTCTGCACCCCATCGCTGATGTTCCTGGATCCGATTTCTCGGGCCCGTAAAGCTTTTTTCACAGGCCTGTCGGGGTTATCATCCAACAAACTCCTCACTTTTTCCCTTCCTCCCTCCTCCCCTTCTCCTTTTTATTTTTTTTTTTTTTAATTTATTTATTTAATAGACGTGGAACCGTTTCAAGCGACTTCCTCTCCAAAAAAAAAAAAAAAAAAAAAAAAAACCCTGGTTTTTTTTTATAAAAAAAAATTTCATTTTTTTTTTTTTTTTTTTTTTTTTTTTTTTTTTTTTTTTTTTAAAGTCGGTGTTTTCTTCCTGTCGCTTTAACCAAGACGGAAAACGTGACATCGCTCTAAAGGCCGGGATTTCACTTGGGAGAGCTGCTCCCGCTTTCCCCGAAAAAAAAAAAAAAGGAAGGTTTCTGCTGCCTATTTCTCTCTGCCTGTGATTATTTTTAATTTCATCCGACGCGTTTAAGGAGGAAAAGGGAGAAATTAGATCTGTTCTTTCCTCGGGGTTTTTTTTGGCGTATGGGTGGAGGGGGGGTTGGGGGTGGCGGTGACCCCTTCCCTGCGCTCCCAGTGAATTCCCTGCGCTCCCAGTGAATTCCCTGCTCTCCCAGTGAATTCCCTGCTCTCCCAGTGAATTCCCTGCGCTCCCAGTGAATTCCCTGCGCTCCCAGCGAATTCCCTGCGCTCCCGGCCCTTTCCCTGCGCTCCCGGCCCTTTCCCTGCGCCATGAGGATCCTGTTCGTCCCAAATCCCTTTGCCGGGAATAACCCGCCGCGGTGGGGGGGGGGGGGGGGGGGGGGGGGGGGGGGGGGGGCTGTGATTTTGGGAGGTTTGGGGTGGTCGATCGCCGCCCCCCTGGGTCTGATCGCGCGTTTTGGTTCCACCCTTAAACTCACCCCAAACCCAACACCGGCCCCTGGCGCGCACGGGGACAAAAATAAATCCGTCCCCCCCCCCCCCCCCCCAAACAGAGCGGGGCCCCCCCTGTGTGCGTCCCCCCCCCACAAAGCCGGAGCCGCGCACACACTCACTCGCACCCCCCCGGAACGCTCCCGCACCCCCCGGAGCTCACAGGGCTCCTCCGGGCAGCCCCTTCCCCACCCGGGCAGCCCCGGCTCGGAGCTCGGTGGGACGGAGGGACCCACTCCCCACCCCCGGGACCCCCCGGGACACCCCGGGACACCGCGGGACACCCCGGGACACCCCGGCCCTGCCGCCCCCCCGCCCCGGGGCCCCTCCCGCTCTCCTCTGTTGCACGTAAACCTTTCCTCCGGGCTGTCCGCTGTCCTTAGAGATCCTCCAAGCTATAGCCCCGGAATTTGAGGCTGGGGGGCACGGGGATGGCGTTGCCCCCCAGGTGCCAGCTCCACAGCGGGTGAGTTTTGGAGAGAGCCCAGGAGTTTTTGCCCCCGAGGGAGGAGGCAGGACACAGGTCCCCATCTTCCCCCACGACCAGGGAGGGAATACAGGGGAAGTTGCCCATGAGGCTGAAGGAATTCCGAGGCGGGGTTGGCCCGGCGCTGCCGAGGCGTTTGCAGGGAGTGTTTCCCTTTTTGGCATTCCTCCTCGGAGTCTTTTGTGGCCTCCCTTTGGAGGAGCTCTGTTGCCTTTCTGCCTCAGCGCCTCTGGCGAGGCGTCTGCGCTTGGCATTCCTTTCCGAGCCATTGCCTCTCAAAGCTCTGGATGACAAGGTGCTGGGGCTCTCTGCTCTTTTGGAGCCGGGGGATTTGAGCTCCGCGCCTTTCCAGGGCTCCGGCCTCCCTCCGTGCCGCAAACTTTTCCCGTCCAGGTTGAACCCTTTGGCGTAACACCACAGCTTGGATTGCCGGATCAGCCGGTCAAAGTGCTCCCGCCGGGGCTCCCCCTCCTCCCCGGGGGGCGCGGGGCCGGGGCTCCCCCCCAGCTCCGGGGGCTGCGGGGCCTCCTCCGGGGAAGGCGCCGGCCCGGTTAAGGCTCCGCTTTGCCGCTCGGCCCGTTCTAACGAGGCTCTATTGTTCGAGGCATCTTTGTGCAAATCCTTCCCTTTGGCGCAGGGCTCCGCGTCCCCAAAGCCTCCCTCCTTTTGTTGCGGGTCCCCCTCGGGGGTGCCGCTCGGGGAGGGAGGGGGGGAGGAGGAGGAGGAGGAGGAGGAGGAGGAAGAGGAGGAGGAAGGGGAGGCCTCCTGCTTCGCGTACAGCCCCGGCTGCGCCTGAGCCCCCGAGCCCAGGGCTGGAGCCGGGCTCAAACTTTCCAAAGTTGACGCTCGCAAAGTCCTGGCCCAGAGCTGCTGCGAGAGGAAGAGGAGGTCGGGGTCGGGGCGCAGGGCTTTGCCCACGCTCGGGGGGGGCTCGGCCGGGCGCTCCTCCCCGAGGGGCTCCCGGGGGGGGCTGCGGCGGGAAGCGCGGCAGAGCCGCCTGCCTGTACCGGGTGCTCTGCACCGAGTCCCCGCTGCACAGCGAGCTGCTCTCCGACTCCGAGGAGCTGCCTTCCTCGCTGCTGCACGAGCTGTCCCCTTCCTCCTCCTCCTCTTCCTCCTCCTCCTCCTCCTCCGACGAGTCGCTGGAGGTGGCGGGGCTGGACCCGGCGAAGTCCAGGCTGGAGTCCGAGTCGCTGGAGTAGCCGGCGGAGGTGCCCTGGCGCTTGGAGCCGGGAAAACCGGAGGAGCGGCCCTTCCTGGCGGCCGCGGGCCCCTTCTCCGGCGGGAAGAGCCCCTTGGCGCAGCAGGGCCCCCGCTTGCGCCGGCCCGCGGGGGCGAGCGCGGCCGGGAGCGCGGCGGGATGCGCGGCCGCGGGATGCAGGAGGGCCAGGTCGCGGGGGTACCCGGCCAGCACCCCGGAGAAGAGACCCCCCCGACCCGCCAGCCCGCGGCCCCCCCGGGCCGGGAAGGCCCTGTGGAAGGGCTGCGGGCCGGGGAAGGCGGGGGGCGGCCGGGGGCGGCCGGGGGCGGCGGGGCCGCAGCAGCCGCCGGCTCTGCAGGGCGGCAGCAGCGGGGGCCGGGGGCAGGGGAACAGCTCCCCCGGGGCCGGCAGCAGCAGCTGCTCCCTCCTCTTGCTCTTCCTCTTCCTCTTCCTCCGGCGGGGGCTGAGGCTCTTGCAGGAGGTGCAGAGAGCCTCCAGGTCCGCCTTGGAGATGAGCGAACATTTCACCGCGCGGGTGGGCACCGAGTTGATGGCCTTGAGGGTCCGGAGCTCTTTAAGATCGCAGCGCCGGCTCTTGATCTTTAAGGTTTCCATCTTCTTGCTGATGGTGGTCCTGGGGATATCCTTAAACAGGTCGCTGAGGACCTGGGCCAAAGCAAACATCTGGGTGCCATTGATCTGTAAGTATCCCAAGTTTATCCCTTCGATTTCTTGATAGCCGGCATGAAAATCCCCCGGCCTGGCTTCCCCATTGTAATCCATGGTGGCTGGAACAATTCCGAAGGTCCCTTCGCAGGTCAGGAACATTTTGCAAGGAGCGTTTACTTTGTCTCTTTCAAAGGGGGCATTGAAAATAAGGACATATTTGTTTCCACTCCCTGATCACACACATCCCTCCGGAGAGGGGGGAAAGGGGGAGGGGAGAGAAAAAAAAAAAAAAGGAAAAGAGGAGAAAAAAAAAAAAGCCAAAGCAGTCGATCTCCCTTTCAAACGCTCCAGTCAATGGTTTGCAACATCTTCCGAACACCCAGTTCCTCCGCCTGCACCGGGGCTTGACTCCTCGTCTTCCCCCTCTCCGGCAAAAAAAAAAAAAAAAAAAAAAAAAAAAAAAAAAAAGGAAAGAAAAATAAAGAAGTCAAACATCTCGCATCCTCCGGGCTCCCCCCGGCCGGCCCCCACCCGCGGCAGCGCACCCACCTTCCGCCTCCAAAATAATCTCTCTTTTTTGGGGGGGGGGAAAAGAGCAGAGAATCAACAAGCGCGGACCACCCCCCCCCCCCCCCCCCTCCGGGCTCGGCCGCGCGAAGCCACTGAGATGCTTAAACAAACAAAGCTCCCGGCGAGGGGGGGGGGCACGGAAAAATGGTGGCCGAGGTGGGGAAGGGGGGGGTCGGGGGGTTGTGGGGGGGGGGGGGGGCCCGGGGGGGGGGGGGGGGGAGCCGCGGGGCTCCGCGTGCGGCTCCCACCTTCCCCGGGCTCCGCACTCGCGGCCCCGCGCTCGGGATATTCCAGGGAGCAGGGAACACCCCGCGGCGCCCGCCCCCTGATTGGGCGCTCGGGGCCTCTGATGTCATTAAAACCCCAACATTTCACACGCACGGACACCCCAACCCCCCCCCCCCCC